TGTTAGGCGAAATGAACCCCAAGATAAGGATTCAAATGTTTTTTCTTTCTTGCGATTGTTTCTGACATATTTATAAGATGATTTCTTTGTGGCTTTGTATGTCCCTCCCCCACGGTATAACCCCTGTTTTCACTGTATTTGATGTTGGTATAATTTGTGGAGGGGAAGGGAAAAAACAAATTGTTTAAATAGGGATACAGGTGGACCCATTGCAACAATGAGATGTACAAGTCCTTATGTCGAAAAACATACTTTACAACTTTAGCGGGGGGAGGGCGGGGGGGCAGGGAGAGGGGGAGAGGGGAGTTGTGGGGGGGAGATGGAAAGGGATGGGAAGGGGAAACAAAGGAGGAAGCAACAATGCTTGATAAGAAATGTACTCATTACCTTGCCCATGTAATTGTAACCCCTCTGTACAGTATTTTCACAATAAAAAAAATGTGCTCACTACCTTACTTATGTAACTGTAACCCCTCTGTATGTCCCCTTGACAATAAAATTAAAATAAAAATATAAAGATAAATACATAAATAAATAAATCATACAGCCTGGCGCTGGTGGCTCATGCCTGTAATCCTAGCTACTCAGAAGACTGAGATCTGAGTATCACTGTTGGAAGCTAGCCCCAGCAGAAAAGTCTGTGAGACTCTTTTATTTCCAATAAACTACTCCAAAAAAGCCAGAAGTGGCACTGTGGCTCAAGTGGTAGAGTGCTATCCTTGAACAAAGAATCTCAAGGACAGCACACAGGCCCTGAGTTCGAACCCTAAGACTGGCAAATTACATACATACATACATACATACATACATATGTACATGCATACATTCATGCATACGTGCATATGTGTAAATAATATGAATATATTATTTAACCTTTAAAAGGAAGGAAATTCTAACACAAATTATAGTATGGAAAAAGTCTGAAGATGTTATACTAAATGAAATGAACTAATCATAAAAAGGCTCTACTAATAGCATACAATTGAACCTATATGGATACTTAAAGCATCAAATTCATAGTGAATATACTCTGGTGGTTCACGGGGGAAGAAAGTTTAAGGAATGAGGAGTTTTTGTTTTGTTTGTGTTTGTGTTTTATTTTTGTGCTAGTCCTGGGGCTTGAACTCATGGCCTGAGTACTGTTCTGTGCTATTTTGCTCTTCTACTTGAACCACAGATTCACTTCCAGCTTTTTGGTGGTTAATTGGAGATAAAAGTCTCACAGACTTTTCTGCCCAGGCTGGCTTTGAACCACGTTTCTTAGATCTCAGCCTCCTGAGTAGCTAGAATTATAGGTGTGAGCCACTAGAGCCCAGCAAGGAGTTGTTTTTTTAATAGGCATTAGGCTTGAGTTTGGGAGGATGAAAAGATTCTAGATATGGGTGGTGGTGATTGTTCAGTGTGAATTTACCTAATACCAATGAACTGAACATGTTAGATTAGTAAATGGTAAGTTTTGCATATTTTACTTTAACTTTTTATAATCTTTTAAAGACATTGATAAGAGGTTGGAGTAGGAATGGTTTTAATTAGGATTGTCCAGGAAGGCTCCTCTGAGGAACTGAATAGATCAAAGCAATAAGGAGAACATGAAATGACATGGAGAATGATCTGGAGGTTGTTCTAAGTACAACAGAACACCTTTGAAGTCCTTTGATCAGTAGAGAAAAAAATGACCTCCTCAGTCACTTAAAAGTTCTTCCTGACTGTATGTGAAATGTGGGCTACATGAAGGAAACCTGGAAGCCAGAAGGAAAAGTAAGATGCTATAGTCAGGTTGGAAATGTAGTTCAGTGGTAGAGAGCTTGCACAACACACACACAACACTTAGGATTCAATCAGCATGAGACAGATAGGGAAGGAGGGAGTCGGAGAAATAGGGAGGTCAGGAGGGAGGGAGGCAAGGTGGGAAGCAGAGAGGGATACTATTGCCCTTGCTAGCTCAATAACGAGATGCTAGGTGAGGAGAAAATGGTGGGTTGGGAATATAGTTTCAAAGGAATGACCTGTGTCTCACTAGCAAATTTGCTATGCAAAGGCAGAGGTGAATAAAGTATAATGTCTCACTTTTTAACCCAGCAACCTTGCAAATGGGGGTTCCATCTATTGAAATTGAAATGACCAGGTAGAAAAGCTGTTCAGGGGTATGGGAAAGGGTTTGGAGAGGCAATCAGTATGAAAGACCATGAACTCCATGTCTATCAGAGAGCTAGCATACAAAGCTACTAATTAAATAATGATTGAGTGAGTGAGTGAGTGAAATTAAGTATATGGAAAGAAGGAGGGAGGAAATTAGCTCTATATTTTTTTGGTCAGTCGTCGGGTTTTTTTGGTCAGTCATGGGCTCTGAACTCTGGGCCTGGGCGCTGTCCCTCAGCTCTTCAGCTCAAGGCTAGTGCTCTACCACTTGAGCCACAGTGCCACTTGCAGCTTTTTCTGCTTATGTGGTGCTGAGGAATTGAACCCAGGGCCTCATGCATGCAAGGCAAGAATTCTACCACTGAGTCATCTTCCAGCCCCAGATCTATATTTTTAAAACATGAAGGAGAATGTTTGGTGACATTATAGGATCACACACAAAAAAACAGCTGGAGCTATGTGCCAGTGACTCATGTCTATAATCCTAACCATTCAGGAGGCAGGAAGGTCCATCAGACTCTTATCTTCAATTACCACCAAAACGTTGGAGTGAAGCTGGGGTTCAAGTAGTAGAGCAGTAGCCTTGAGCACAAAAGCTTATGGACAAACACACACACACACACACACACACACACACACACACACACACACACACACACACATACCAAGTTTCACTCTCAGAAAATATTTCCAAACCTCCAAATGACTCCTCCTACCTTTTGCTAAAGGTTTTCCCCTACCTCCCTCTGCCCTAGGTACAGTAGGAAGAAACTTAAAAATATCCAACCCATAAGTTCCTCTTGCTATAAGGTCAGTTCTAAAAATGGAGGAAGATAGGAGCATAGGCCTAGAAATTGAGTGGGACACAGTGATGTCCTTCTGCAGACTCTACCTCCATCACCACTGCCAGCACATCAACAACCACACCTTCTCCTCACTCCTTCCCTGCCACACACTTAGCATTCCTGCAGGCAGCCTTGAAACAGTGCAGCCATCCACAAAAACTCTAGTCAGTTCCCTCCCAAAATCTCACTCTCTAAGGATGCTGCAAGCTGGACAAGATTCATTCCACCTATGTGCTTCTTTTCACTAACCCACTTACTGCTCTTACTGAGTCTCAAGCTGGTTCCTACTGAACCTAAAACAAGGGGAGCCATTTGTGAGAACATTTTTTAAAATGACTTTTAAGAAGTGAAGAAAGGAGACAAATGATGTGAACCTGATAAAGGCATGTTGCAGTGTGTGAATGGCAGTATCACAATGAAAGCTCTTTGTACCCTCTTTTTATGGTGCCTGGACTGGGGCTCAAACTCAGGACCTGGGCACTATCTCTGAGCTCTTTTGGTTAAGGCTAGTGCTCTACCATTTGAGTCACAGCTCCACTTCCAATAGTTAATTGGAGATAAGAGTCTCATAGACTTTCTGCCCAGGCTAGCTTCAAAATATAATTCTCAGATCTCAGCCTCCTGAGTAGCCAGGATTACAGGCATAACTACCAATGCCCTGAGGAACTAACTTTTTGTACTAATTACCTTACTCCTGTAACTGTAACCCCTCTGTACAGTATCTTTACAATAAAAAATGTATTTAAAAAAATTCGGGCCTGAAAAGGCAAAGTAGAAATCACAAATAAGGGACTTGGTACTGGAAAAATTAAAAAATTTATTGTTATTGTAAAGGTGATATACAGAGAGTTACAGTTACATAAGTCAAGTAATGAGTATATTTCATTTTGAAGTGTTACCTGTTTCCTTGTTTTCTCCGAGTTTTCCCCTCTCAACGCCCCCCCCCCCAAGTTGTGTAGCTCATTTTCAACATAGTGTCTAGTAAGTATCACTGCAGCATTTGTTCACCTTTTGTCCCACCATTTCTGGGCTCCCTCTTGCCCTCCACAAAACAGATAAACTTACATACAAGACAAAAGGCATAGAAATTTAAAAAGCAGCAAAAGGGGAAAACAGGAAAAACACACACACAAAAAAATAAAAATCTATTTCCATTTCTTGGAGTTCATTTTAAGCATCATTTTATATGAGCATATATACATAACTATTGAGCCTTTGTGATCCTCTCCTAAGAATATCCTCCTTTGGTCTCACTGTGTGAAAGTTTACAGTCCTGTTTAATTTATCATATCCAAGTATAATTTTTTGTCTTTCATTATCCATTTGGTTTACTTGTAGAGTTATTGGCACATTCTAATTATTACAAGTGAGGGAAAACATTCAACTTATGTTTCTTTGGGTCTGGCTTACTTTGCTTAATTTAAGTTTTTCCAAATCTTTCCACTTCCTTACAGATGGTGCAATATCATTCTTTCTGATGAAAGAATAGGGTTCCATTATGTATATATACCACATTTTCTTGATCCATTCATCCACTGAGGGGTATCTTGGTTGATTCCACATCTTGGCTATGGTATACAGTGCTGCAATAAACATGGTTGTACTGGGAGCTTTAGTGTAGCCTTGTTTGTGTTCTGTTGGATAAATGTACAGAAGTGGAATTGCTGAGTCACAGGGAGGCTCTTAGTCTTTTGAGTACCCTCCATACTGCTTTCCAGTGTGGTTTAAGTGACTTTCAAAATTGGGTGTTAACTGCACAAAAAAAAAAAAAAAAAAGGAGAACTATTTGAGACCATACAACAGCTGCAGGGTATCGCCCTGCCTCTATTTCCCTGATATGTGGTTTTCTTTTTTCTCTTTTTTTATTATAAAGATGCTGTACAGAGGGGTTACAGTTATATGAGTAAGGTAATGAGTACATTTCTTGTCAAGCATTGTTACCCCCTCCTTTGTTTTTCTCCTACGATGGTATGTGGTTTTCATGAGTTAACCACTTTTGTCCTGGCTTTTTCACAGGATTGAGGGTTCAGAGTTTGCCAATGACAACATCAACCTTGTTGCCTGTTTCTCTTTCGGCAAAAATTACTCCACCCACTACCACCTGGACTGGCTCTCCACAGAACTCGGCTGCTGCCACTGGCTTCCCAGCCTCAGGCACTGACAATGCCTCAGTTGTCCCAATTACATCCACAGCTCCAACATCTATGTTTTCCAAGGACGTTTCCACCAAGCCTGAAAAAGAAGTGATCACCAGCCACTCTGCAGCATGGGAAGGTGCACACACAAATCCCTCCATTCCTGGGCTCTTGTCTACCAGCAATGCTATTCATCTGACACCCACACCTGAAGAACACAGCTCAGGAAGTCCTGAGAGTGTGCCAGCTGTAGGGTCTCAGTCCCCACCACTCACCTCCCCACAAGCTCCTGCTTCTTCACCCTCATACCTATCGGCCTCCATGCCTGCGGTTCCTTCTGCCTCCATCACCCCCAACCTGAGCACTTCTGTGAGCATTCCAACTACAGCAGCTCCAATGTCACCTGAATTCCCAACAGAGGACCACAGCTCTGGTCACATACCCACTTCCCATGTCACAGACCAGCCAGGGACCAAGGAGAAAACACCTCAAAATTCTGAGTCAGGCAAAGTGATGTGTGGATCCGAGACTACCACTCCCTTCCTGATCATGCAGGACGTGGAACATGCATTAAGTTCAGGTGAGTCCATTTGGAATGTAATAATGTTCATGCTTATACTTAGCGTTACACTAAGAATCAATCTTGTGGGAAGCTGAGGTAGAATAATCACTTGAGTCTGGAAGTTTGAGGCCATTCTGGCCAACATATTGAGACCCACATCTCAAAAAACAAACAAAAAAAAAAGAATCAGGTTACCAATTTTTAAGTTTGAATTTTGGAGTACGATATCTGAGGGGAAATTCTAACTTATAAGAATTTCAGCAAAAACACAAACTTTAATATTTAAATAAAAATTTAATAATATGTACAGGATATATTATTTCTTTAGCCTCTTCTTTATTGCTTTATATTATTTCTTTAGTCTCTTGTCTAATTTATCTCCACATAATATTACAGGGGCATTGTAAAGGATAAACAGCGTGGCCTCAGGTCAAGCTTCCTAGGTTTTATTTCCAACAATTTGCTGTGTTTTCCCCTTGAAAGGAAAAACACCCCTAAAGCAGGATATTTTTAAGTTCTGTGTCAAAGCCAAAGCCAAACCAAGGTTGACCCTAGTTTATTCCATAGCCAGAAAGTGGAAAAAATGAATTCACAAATCAACTTCTCAACTTCTAGGGGATGAAAGGAAAAAATATTCATGACTTTTCCTAGAATAGGCCGAGATTCTCCATCTCACCCCCAATTCAGACAATATCCCTTTTTATGGTCTAATGCTTCTTGCCACAATGATTATAGGTATGTCCCTTACAGATTAGATTATAATTAAGTCAGCAGTTCTTTGATGGTTACACTGGCCACCATCTTGGATCTAATCACTTTTGGCTAGCTTACCTGAAGAAAGCTACCCACCTTTAGGCATCCTGTTCTCAAAGATGAACAATATTAAGGCAGGGTAGAAGTTAAGCTAGGTCACCCTCTTCAGTTCTGATTCCTGACAATAGACAAGTTATTTCAACTCTCTGTGCCCTTCTATTTCTTCATCTGTAAAATAGGGATAGAATAGATTCTACCATATTCTGTTCTTACAAAGGTTAAGTAACATGACATATAAAGTGCTTAGACCATTTCCTGGTAGAGAGTAAGTGTTCAGGAAATGTCAGTTATATAACTCTTTGGTTTTTAAAGCCATGTTTACCTCTTGGAATCCAGCCAAAGCAGGGCGGGGTGGAGAAAACTGGCTCATCCTTTATTTCACACGGATATCTTTCATGGGAAAGACAATAAATGTGACATGACGTAGAATGTGCTTGTATTCTCCCAGCGATCCTATAAACTTAGTTTTATTTCCATATTCATTGTTTAAAATTATGGTGGAAAGGTATTTAGGGTCTTTCTGAGGCTAATTGGACCTGATAATGATGTGTCACTGTAAACTCCATGGTTTGGAGTAGGAAAAGACTTTTGTAGGAACATTTGGTCATTTAGTTGAAAAACAGTAAGGTGAGAACAGCCAGAAGGCAAAGAAAATAGAGGTGCATCCCTTTGTCTAGGTGGTCCTATTACCCAATGTAGACTGAGAATAAAGTATTCTAGACAGAACAATGCATGACAAGCTGTGGTCAAAGCAACAGCTATCACTGAGGATAAAGCTACATCTTTTAAGAAATAAACACTATTAATGGAAACCACAATTAGACAATGGAAGAGAAAGAACTAAGATTAACAAAGCACTAATTCCTTCAGGAAGAATCCACAGTATAGTAAGGTGAAAAGTCCCAAAGAATTATAAATTCTTATTTCAAAAGACAGCGTATGAGTGAAGGTCACAAAAAGAAAAAGACATAGTAAAACTAGAATAAAATAACTAATTTCAAAGGCCTAGGTGAAGTACAGGAAAATTACAGAGTCTGAAAAGAAAGAAGACAGCAACAGAACTCAAGACAGAGCCCTGTCGAACTATGAATCCCCTTGACCCTTCCTCCTAAGTTGGTCAGCTTTTGACTTCAAACATCTCCTGTGTGCTGATGATTTGGAAATAGAGTTCTGCCTCTATTCTGCTTCATTGGGCTGGAGATGCCTATATTCGACTGTCAACCATGAGATGCTGGGACATCTCACACTTCATATGAATGAGCTGAATGGTTGAATTATTCAGCTCTCTGTCTGGCCCTCCTTCAGTCTTGCCCTCTCTTAGCCCCTCAGGCCAATAACCTTCGAATGATCCCTAACATACCTAGGACAATCCTAGCATATAGAAGTCACGTACTCTACATTTAATACATCACACTTGGACTGCTCTTTCACCCCACTGTCATCTCTCACACAAATTAGTATTCCTGTGACTGGTCATACCCATATCAGAGATCCTCTCCAAACTGTCAGATCTAGGCTCTCTGTTTTATGTATGTCCTGAATTTTGCACTACTGTCTGATGACTAGCACCTGCCTATGAAGGGGAAGAACTCAGAACTAAAAAGCCTCTAGGACTCTCTAGGACTCTGGTCTCTCCCAAGGATATAAACTGGTATTCCTGATAACCTCTATCTCTGAGCTTGAGGAGGTCAAGAATAAAGGGAGATCTTTCTGTTTAGACTGACATCTATCCTACCATTACAGTAGCCAGTGTGACTTTTGAACACTGGAAATGTGGCTGGTCCAAACTGCTATGTTCTAGAATTATAAAATTCACACTGTATTTCAAAGACCTGGTACCAAAACCAGAATGGAAATGGAAATCTTTTTTATAAATTGCATGTGAGAATAATATTTTGAATTGTTTTAAATCAAGCTCGGAACAGATGGTGAATTCATACAATCTCTGGGTTCTTTTGCACTTTCAATCTCACTGATAACCTTAATGTAAATTTACTGAACATCTAGAGATTGTGGCTCACTTGCTGATTCCCCCTACCTCAAATCTTCTCCTTCTAGGTTTTTGACAACTCATTCCTGTTCACTGCTGTCACCTCCTCATCAAACCTTTACCTACCAGCCTCATCCAAAAGAGTAACCCCTATCACTATTGATGCTTTGTCCTGATTTCTTTTTCCTCTGTATTGTTAGCATTTTCTGACATCATCTCATTTATCAAGAGTCTGTTTTCTACCATAGCCTGTCAACTCCATGAAAGCAAAGATCTTCTTCAAAAGAGGGTGAACATTTGTTCAATAAATGTTCATTCCATAAATGAATGAGTTAGTAAACTACTATGAGGGAAGTCATTGAATTTCTCTGAGCTTCTGTTTTCCCATCAATGAGATTAGTATAACATCTATTTATCTTAAAACATATTATAAACTGGGTGCTGGTGGCTCGTACCTATAATGCTAACTACTCAGGTAGCTGAGAACTGATTCCAGCCCAGGCAGGAAAGTCCATGAGACTCTTACCTTCAATTAATTACCAAAAGAAAAAAGAAAAAAATAGAAACCCTTGGAACAGAGCTATGGTATATATGGTACTGTGCTAACCTTGAACAAACAAAGTTCAAGGACAGTGCCCAGGCCCTTAGTTCAAGCTCCCAGGACTGGGACACAACACACACACACACACACACACACACACACACATGAATCTTACTGTAAATTTTAGATGACATAATAAATGTAGCTATTGAACAATGACTCAAATGATGGTTACAGTTGTTATTTTACTGTTACTTGTTATTATTAGTTTTCTGCCAACAGTGATCATTATCATTATATTTGCTATAATGAAGAATGCCCACTACCATCATGAATATTCACTGAGCCAGGCATCTGACTACATACGACTGATATAGGCCATGGATGATACAGTACTTCTCTAGGGAGTTTATAATTTTGTACCTGCCAGAGAAGGTAAAGCAGTTTGGTGGATCCAAGGTAGCCATCAGAAATCAACTAAGCAGAAGAAATAAGTGTTCAGTGATTTTCATCTCTCAGCTTTTGTTGGTCTTTTAAAGAAAGAGAGAAGGATGTAGTATGTTAAATCTAAGCCAGTGTTTTGTTACTAAGCTCTCCACATGTAGAATCTATGACTACAGTGTGGTTTTTATTCCCTGAAGGAAATGGGATGATGGTGTACTATACCCAGTTCAGTAAATACATGAAGGATGAACTTAAAACCAGTTACTCTCAAAATATCATCAGTTCTTGCATTCAGAAACTTGAAAATTATAGCCCCCGTGCTTGTTGCACAGTGTGATTCTCTTTTGTCTATAAAATCCATGTCTCTACTGGTACACTTCTTCCTTGTGTTTTCCATTACAAACAGAAAGACATCTAATGATGGAAACTGAAATCTTTTGAAATTTAAGTTGCCGGTTCAAACGCCAGCTCTATTCTTAACTAAAGAGCACTATGCAGCACAGACATCTAGGCATTTCTGTAGGCATTTATGCTGCACAAGACATCTATAAAGCTCACAATGCATAGAGACTTGAAAAAGAATTAATGATAGGAAAGATGAAACAGTAGTTTTTAAAGTATATCTAGAAAGGTTTTAGGAGTAAACAAATGTGCGTTAATGATGTATTGAAGAAAAACTTTAAAAACACGTTCTTTGTTCTGTTTTGTTTTTTTGAATGCAGTATTGATAGACTGCACTCAGGGCTTCTAACTTGTTAGACTAGAATGACACTGTCAAGCCATACCTCCAACCCTGTATTTTATTGCTTATCTTTAGGATAGGCTCTTACTTTCCAGCCAGACTCACCTGAACCACCATCTATCTACTGGTAGATTTCTTGTCATTGCTAAGATCACAGGTGTGCATCACAACATCCAACTTCCCTCTGTAAAGATGGAAGTTCACGGACTTTTCTGCCCAGCCTGGTATTGTAACTGCAATTCTCCCAATCTCAGCCTCCAATGTGGCTTTGGATGACTAGTGCACACCACTGTGCCCAGTTGTGAGTTGAGAAGGGGTCTTGCCACCTTTTCTGCCCAATCTGGCCTCAAACCTAAATTCTTCCATTCCTAACCTCCCAAATACCTAGGATTGCTAGCATGAGCCATTAGTACCCAGATGGTAAATAACATGTTAATTTTAAAACAGAAGTCTCAGGAGACCCTGTAAAATAATGTTGAACACTCCTT